AGAATCAGCATCATCATCATCATAATCATCATCATCATAATAATCGTCATCATCATCATCATCATCATCATCCCCCTGCTCATCAGCATCATCTCTCAAATCATCATGAGCATCAACATCATCATCATCATCATCATCATCATCATCATCACCATCATCATCATCATCATCATCATCATCATCATCGTCGTCGTCATGGTCATCATCATCAGAATCGTCATCACCATCGTCGTCATTGACCTCGACATCGTCAACGGCAGCATCATCAGCATCATCAGAAGTAACACCCCCATCATCGGCGTCATCATCATCAGCAGCGCAATCAGCAGTATCTTTGTCACCGTCATCACCATCGTCGTCGTCAGCAGAACCATCGTCATCGTCATCATCATCGTGAGAATCATTAAGCCTTCCGCGTCGCCAAAGTCAACCTGCTCCTTGCCCTCCTCGACATGCAAATTGGACGCGAGATGGCGAGGGAGTGGGAGGAGTAGGACCAGAGATGGATAGCTACTGTTCTCTTGCCACGTCCGCATTCCTGCAACTCGTACTCGCAGGGCGCAAGAGTCGTCGCGACTCCTCCTCCTCCTCCTCCTCCTCCTCCTCCTCCTGATCCTTATCATCATCCTCATCATCATCATCATCAGCATCATCAGCATCATCATCATCATCATCATCATCATCACCACCACCACCACCATCATCATCATCATCATCATCATCATCATCATCATCATCATCATCAGCATCATCATCATCATCATCATCATCATCATCATCATCATCATCATCATCATCATCATCATCATCATCTGCATGATCATCATCATCATCATCATCATCATCATCATCATCAGCATCGTCATCACATCATCATCATCATCATCATCATCATCATCATCATCATCATCATCATCATCATCATCATCATCATCCATCATCGTCATCATCATCATCATCATCAGCATCATCATCGTCATCATCATCATAATCATCATCATCATCATCATCATCTCATCATCATCATCATCATCATCATCATCATCATCATCATCATCATCATCATCATCATCATCATCATCATCATCATCATCATCATCATCGTCATCATCATCATCATCATCACCATCCCCCTGCTCATCAGCATCATCTTCTTCATCATCATCACCATCAATCATCCTCATCGTCATCATCATCATCATCGTCATCATCATCATAATCATCGTCGTCATCATCATCATCATCATCATCATCATCATCATCATCATCATCATCATCATCATCATCATCATTATTACCAATCATCATCATCGTCATCATCATCATCGTCATCATCATCGTCATCATCATAATCATCATCATCATCATCATCGTCATCATCATCATCATCATCATCATCATCATCATCGTCATCATCATCAGCATCATCTGCATACTAATCATCATCATCATCAGCATCATCATCAACATCATCAACCCCCTGCCCATCATCATCCTCAGCATCATCAGCAGCATCATCCGCAGCATGTTCCTCCGCAATGCCAGCAACATCATGATCAGCCGCACCATCGTCAGCATAGCCATGCTCATTATCATTAAACCGTAATGGTAATTATCATCATCATGATAGGTATGATCATCACAATGGTTGTGGTTGTCATCATCGTCATCGTATGGTTTTGGGATACCCTCCTCGCTCGGGCGGGGCCTCCCTGGAGTAGTGGGAGGGGCACGCACGAAACCGGGCAAACAGCATGGTTTTGGGATACCCTCCTCGCTCAGGCGGGGCCTCCATAGAGGGGCGGGAGGGGCACGAAACCTTGCGGGGCCTCCCTGGAGGGGTGGGAGGGGCACGAAACCTTGTAAATAGTATGGTTTGGGGATACCCTCCTCGCTCAGGCGGAGCCTGCCTGGAGGGGTGGGAGGGGCACGAAACCTTGCAAATAGCATGGTTTGGGGATACCCTCCTCGCTCAGGCGGGGCCTCCCTGGAGGGGTGGATGGGAGGGGCACGAAACCTTATAAATAATATGGTTTGGGGATACCCTCCTCGGGGCCTCCCTGGAGGGGTCGGAGGGGCACGAAACCTTGTAAATAGTATGGTTGTGTGATACCCTCCTCGCTCGGGCGGGGCCGCCCTGGAGAGGTGGGAGGGGCACGGAACCTTATAAATAGTTTGGTTGTGTGATACCCTCCTCGCTCAGACGGGGCCTCCCTGGAGGGTGGGAGGGGCACCAAATCTTGTAAATTGCACGGTTTGGGGATATACTCCTCGCTCAGGCAGGGCCTGCCTACAGGGCTGGAAAAGGGCACGAAACCTTGTCAATAGTATGGTTTGGGGATACCCTCGTCGCTCAGGCGGGACCTCCCTGGAGGGGTGGGAGGGGCACGAAACTTTGTAAAGAGTATGGTTTTGCATTACCCTCCTCGCTCAGGCGGGGCGTCCCTGGAGGGGTGGAGGGGAACGAAACCTAATAACTAGTATGGTTTGCGAATGCCCTACTCGCTTTGGTGGGGCCTCCCTGGAGGGGTGGGACGGGCACGAAACCTGATATTTATCTGGTTTGCGAAAACGATAAGTATGGTATGGCAGGTACGGTATAGTATAATACGTATGGTATGGTAGGGGAGGGCTGGGAGGGGCACGAACCCTTGTAAAGAGTATGGCTTTGGGATACCCTCCTAGCTCAGACGGGGCCTCCCTGGAGGAGTGGGAGGGGAACGAAACCTGATAACTAGTATGGTTTTCGAATACCCTGCTCGCTCAGGCGGGGCCTCCCTGGAGTGGTGGGAAAGGCACGAAACCCGATATGTAGTATGGTTTGCGGGTGCGGTAAGTATGGCATGGCTGGTATGATATATGATCATATACGTTGGTATGATAGGGGATGGCAGGTAATACGATAGGTATGGTATGGCATGTATCGTATAATACGTATGGTATGGCAGGGAATGGTATGGTATGGTATAGTACAGTACATAATTTAGTACTCATGGTATTAGTCGGGTATGGCAGGTATGGTACGGTTTTGGTGAAGGAAGCGGAGAAGGAGGAAATGGAGAAGGAGAAGGAGAGGGTGGTCTAGGAAAAGACGAACCCCTCATGATGTGGGACAAAAACAAAAAAACGGACGCTCGTCCCCAGAATTTTTTTGGACTATCTGTAAGCACTCCTCCTGTAGAGGGAGCCGACTCCCCGCTGCTTGACAGCTTCCGGCTGCTCCTGGCCCCGAAGCCCGCCAGACCCGCCCATTCTCGGGGGCGCGCAAACATGGATCGGGGGAGGCGCCCTCCCCAAAATGGGGGCAGCGCCGCCTCGCTCGGCGGCGGAACTCCACGATTTCCCCTGGAAACGGGATCCGTCGCTACTCCACGCCCCCATTGATCCATGTTCGCTAGGGCCTGACATTCCGCCGCCAGGGGGGGAGGCGGACCCACCCCCTGGCACCACGAGGACACAAGGCGGCGCGCAGCCGCCCGAGAGCACGGACGCGCCCAGCAGCGACACAGAGGGCGGCAGCAGCGGGCCGCCGAGGCGGGCCGGGCCCTCCACGAGGCGGCGGAGGAGGAGGAGGAGGAAGAGGAAGAGGAGGGGGAGGACGAGGACGAGGACAAGGAGAAGGGGGAGAACGACGAGCTGAGGAGGAGGGGAGGGAAAGGGCGGGGAAAGGGGTCCCCCCTGGCGGCACGAGGGCCCGCGGCGGCGCGTAGCCGCCCGAGAGGACGGGCGCGCTTGGCGGCGACCACAAAGGCGGCAGCAGCGGGCCGCCGAGGCGGGCCGGGGTCCTCCACGAGGAGGAGGGGAAGGAGGAGAAGGAGGAGGAGGAGGAGGAAGAGGAGCCCGGCGCCCAGAGTCGGTTTCCCGAAGGCCGCCCGTGCATTGCACACGCCCAGCCAACGAACTACCGCCCTGAGAGCAGCAACAGCTGCGCAGGAAGGGCACAGGGGGTGACCACGTCGCCTGTGAAGACTCGCGGCCCAGCGGTTCCGACATGGCGCGTTGGGGGCCAAAAGCATCCCAATCGGAACAGCGGGCACGGCATACCGAGGAGCACAAGCTCCCCAGCCCTGGGTGGGAACAAGGCCCCTTGGGACTTACGTGGCACAAACCACCGCCTCCCGAGGAAATGCCGATCCCTGAGGGTCAGATCACAATGAAATGACCGCACAGGCTCCGCCACCCGCCTTCACCCGCAGGGCCAGGCTGAGACTGGGGCCGTGCTACACCCAACGACGGGAGACCCGTCGATACAGGTTTCGTTACGTCCACCCCAAGCCCCAGAGCCCGCAGTACCAAACAAATCGGCTGGTTGCACCCCGCCCAACCTGCAAATTAAGTGCCGTGTACAGTGTGCCAGAGGGGGAGGAGGACGAGTTGAGGAGGAGGGGAAGGAAAGGGCGGGGAAAGGGGTACCCCTGGCGGAACGAGGACCCGAGGCGGCGCGCAGCCGCCCGAGAGGACGGGCGCGCCTGGCGGCGACCACATAGGCGACAGCAGCGGGCCGCCGAGGCGGGCCGGGGTCCTGCACGAGGAAGAGGGGGAGGAGGAGGAGGAGGAGGAGGAGGAGGAGGAGGAGGAGGAGGAGGATGAGGAGGAGGAGGAAGGAGGAGGAGGAGGAGGAGGAGGGGAGGAGGACGAGTTGAGGAGGAGGGGAAGGAAAGGGCGGGGAAGGGGGTCCCCCTCGCGGAACGAGGACACAAGGCGGCGCGTAGCCGCCCGAGAGGACGGGCGCGCCTGGCGGCGACCACAAAGGCGGCAGCAGCGGGCCGCCGAGGCGGGCTGGGGTCCTCCACGAGGAGGAGGAGGAGGAGGAGGAGGAGGAGGAGGAGGAGGAGGAAGGAGCACAGGAGGGCGGAGGAGGAGGAGGAACAGGAGGAGAAGGGGAGTGGAGGGGGGAGGGGAGGGGAAGGAGGAGGAGGAGGAGGAGGAGGGAGGAGGAGGAGGAGGAAGAGACGGAGGACGAGCTGAGGAGGAGGGGAAGGAAAGACCGGCGAAGGGGCTGGATCCTCCACGAGGCAGGGCGCGCTGGTCGGAAGGAACCGGATCCCGCCCAGCTCCGCGGCCGCGCCCCAGCGCCACGCGCGCAGCGTGGCGTCCTGCGCGCGCGCGCGAGCGCGGCGGGAGCGAACGACCTATCCTGGCTCCTCCGCTCCCTCCGTCC